ATTTTTTTCTTCTTCTGCCTCTTTTAGTTTCTCCTTCACTGCCGCAAGTTATTCTTGTAGTTTCAAGATCTGGAGTTCATATTCACCAGTCAAATTCCAAATGTTTAGCAAACATGCTTTGTAGTATTCCTGGTTAATGGATTCATCATACCATTCTTCAAAACCATATTGATTTTCGTCCTACCAATGGGATGATAACACAAGACTATTAATTAACATGTTATATAAAAACTATTAACAAATATGTTTTTCCAAAAATAATAACTTACAACTTGTTTACACATCCAATGTTTGCGCCCTAGATTGCAATTTGACCAATATGGCTTCAAAATTGCACGTTTGCTACAGTAACACCTTGGTACGTCATTGTGTCCAGACATGTCGTAATGCTCGAAAATGAAAAATTAATACAAAGTTGTTCTATTCGTTTCGTTACAACGCAAATAATAACTACAATTCGCGAGGTTTTTATAGGCAGCTAAGAGTGATTTTTGGTTACATAACGCATATTGGTGACGCTCTATGCTTCGCGTGATAATAATTCTTTAGGGTACAAATGGATGCAGCTTTTTAGGTTGATGACAAGTGGTATGGTGTTCTACATCCCTTGAAAAATAAGCCTATAAATATACACACAGATCTCAAAGTTGTTGGGCACATTATTGAGGGCAAAGCGCATTCTACAAAGCCTGAAGGTATGCGAATTTGGGGTGAAAAACTACATTGGGTTCCCCTTAATTCAAAACGATATGATTATGAAGTACTATGTCACTGGCATGGGCTTGTTGTACCACAAGCGCTGTCTGCAACCTTCTAAACAAACACACACAAAGATGAACCAGAAGTGATTCGACATTTGATGAAGGAGATTCTAGAGATGGAAAGGGCACTAGCCGTTCATCATGCAATGGATGATCTTAACTACCTGGAAGGAACGGAGGATCAGTATTGGGATTTATTAAAAAATGCAAAATTATATAGAGATAATGATTATACTATTTTCCCAACAATTGTCGAGTGAGAGGGACTACCTAAGTTTCTACCACAAACGTTGGATGTAGGAGTCCCATATTATTGTAGAAATCAAGAAAGTGGTCTTATTAGTGATAGCAATGAAATACGAGAAATGTGTGTCAACTGGGGCCTAAATTACGATGCCCTCGGTCTGGAAAGGTGCGTACAAGATGTTGACGAAGAAGCTGAAGACAGTGACAATAAAATAGTGCTAGACAGTGATGATAATGGCGAATGAAAATTGTTATTTATTTCTTGGGGTGTATGTTAAATTGTTGTATTGAATCTTTAATGCTAAATATCAATTAGATTTAACCCCATTGGAAACATAATTTTATTTCATAAATATTGCAAACTAAACATTTACGGACATTTGGTATAACAAAAATAGTGCAATAAAATACTACGTTTATCCTTGATAATTGGGCACATAGGATGAACTGCCACCTGGAGCTAAATTACCACTGCTTCCCAAACCAGCTGAAGGACATTTACGGCGGTCGTGTCTTGTTTGGGAACATATGCCACATTTACACGCACAAACGGTATCACCAACATCCATTTAGTTCCGTATCCGCATTCTTTTTTGCACTTTCCGTTGGTGCACATAATCCTTGTTACACACCATTTTAAATGGTTCCGACGGCCAATGATACTCAGCACCCACTGGCTGCAACTGTCCACCATAGGTGTTTAAGTAGGCAGCAACACTATATTCTTTATCAACGTATCTCGTTGCCGCAAAATATGTATGTTGAAAGCACTTCATGGCATGTGAGCATGGAAAGTGATAGATTGACCATTTTCCACAGGAGCATAATCTTCTGGATTCATTGACGGTGTGTGTATTATTCTCGCGGTTGTGATGCAGACCAGTGCGAACTTCAAAAATATTTCGCTCGCTGCAATACTGCAAATACGAATGCCACTGTGCTCGCTTCCTATATTTCTCAAATCATTTCATTGGTTGTGGCATAAATTCAACACTCATTTCCATCAATGATGATGCACCTCTATATGTTTCAACAAACCTCTCTGCCATCTGCTTGAATGACATCCGCACCATGGCAGTGACAGGCAATCCACGTGTAGACTTCAATAACCCGTTGAAAGACTTTGACACATTTGTAGTCAAAATTCCCCATCTTCTACCACCATCCTTATGCAAAGTCCACTTGTTAAGCTCATGTCGCATCAACCAATGATAGGCTTCTGGGTCTTCCTGCCAAATTAATTCCATTCGCCTCCTACATTTACACTCTTGGTGATCTGTTGCAGCCATCAACCTTAAATCATGTAAGTTCTTGTTCGGATAAGCCCTCTGGAAGTTGGCCTTCAAGTGCCTAACACAGTAACGGTGGTAGGCATACGATTCCTGCCATGCACGCAAACTCTGTGTAGATCTTAAAATATTGCCATGCCGATAAGATATTAGACAAATACTTGAACGCTGTCTGACAACGTGCTCCTTCAAGTGATTCAAAAATAATGTCCACGTCTCTTGGCTTTCATTGGCACAAATAGCAAATGCTAGGAGAAATATACTTCCATTAGCATCTACTACAACGGAGATCAACAACTTAATATCATACTTTCTATAGACATGAGTGCCGTCTATGGATATTACCGGCCGACAATATACAAAATCACCAATGGCTGGTTTAAATGCCCAGAACACATATCTGAATATGTATTCTGGTATTCCCGGACTCCGCCCAAGATTTTATTTAACAACAATTCCGGGGTTAAAGTATTGCAATGCAACCATGTACCTGGGTAGAACGGCAAAGGACTTATCCCAGTTACCATAAACAATTTCAAACGCACGTTTATACCCGAGAAATGCCTTTCTTTTGGTAATGGTACATCTATATACCTGGTGGACAGATGCTATACACTCTTTGATCTTGTACCTTATGGACGCTTAAATGTGTGGAATCAAGACAAGAGAAATCAAGTCAACATTCAAGTTAAAATGATTCCCACTGAATGTGTCCATTTCACAAGTGTGGGTGCCAATGTATTTCCCCACAATCCACATATTTGTTTTCAACTTTCTCGCACGCAACATCCAATTACAACCTTGAAACCATCTACGAAAAATAACCTTGTATACTTCCGGAGATGACTCATGAACCACGATCTCATGACACTCTTTTATGTTGTACATTCGCACCGCCCTGCTTAGGCGCGCTTTATCAGCAAAAAGCATATTCTTTGACAGTACTGTTGCTCTAGATTTATCCCCCATTGCTGTCCGAATTTCATCAAGATCCCTTGTCAAGGCATCCACATTCGGCATACTTGGCAACTGATCAAGGTAGGAAATCTTCCTTGAATGAAATGGCACATGGAACTCGTACACTCTTGGTCTAACAGGAGGTGGAGCATGCTCTCTCGTCAAATCAGGTTCATCATTCTCGTCCTCATTATCATCACCCTCATCAAGGAAGGGTGTGTCATCTCCAGACTCATCAGTGTTATTATCATAATCACTATCATCTTCCTGACTCTGCGCATCTGCCATATCCCGATTAAATATGTCGTCTTCAGGCAATTGAGTAAGGACAAGACCTTTAAGTTGCTCGTTTTCAACGCACAACCAATAAAATAATGAGTTTCTCAAATTCATCCAAACATTACATATAAACTTTATTACTTAACTTACAAATCATAATCTTTTTATATCTCATGATGCATATTATCCTATTGATGATGACTCCTGGATGGACCATCATGATCCAACACACCAAAACTAGGCATATTCCAACTGTCTGTTGGTTCATAACTTGTAAAATTCATATCTGGCCGGTACCCCCTGTGGAATATATGAGTGTTAATACAAATACTATACATAAAAATAAACATCGTACCACAAAGGAAAATTGATGTTTACCACTCGGCTTGTGGATTATGTAAACTTGGGGAGAAATTATGTCCTCGCTCCTCATTTGCCCGTGGAGATAAGTTTAGATCTGGCCAAACTTTTTCATCCGGAACCTGTTCGGATAAAACTGCTCTAAAAAAATTACCCGATGATTGAGGGATATCCCTATTTTGTGGAACCTCAATATTGTGAATGCCTTTAGCCTTGGCGTACACTTCCAACATTTTTATCACAAGAAGTTCCCGGTGTTCATCCGGAGTCCTCAAAATTTGTCAGAGTTTCATTGTCTTCGATGTTAAACTCAGCAAAACAAGCAATCCCTTGCGGAGTAACAGAATATAAATATCTTTCGGTTACTTTAATATTAACTGAACGTTTCCTCACACTTATTTTTTTTTACATAACAATGATACCAATCTAACATACTCCATTGTAAGTGAAAACTTAATATAACACCCTAGAGAACAACTATAGCGTACTGAGTTATTCTCCACCACAACCTCACCCCCCCAATATAATAAAACCCTAATTTTTCGCTCTTCGTACATTATGATAAAATGCAAAATAACTTAACGAATAAATATTTCGGCAGACCTAAAGGATCATCAATGGATTTTTACCAAATTATGAAACTCCTTAAATAAGAAACAAACCAGTCCGATGGGTACAATAATTGAGGTATAGCGCATGCATAATGGGCTCTATATATGTAGCGCGTATACTGTATGCGCTATACCCATATGAATTATTTGTGGGTCAGTAAAGGGCATATGAATTATTGGTGGGGCAGGAAAGTTCAAATATAACGCGGTTATTCACTGCGTTATACCTTAACGGACAAATATGTCGTTAAGGTATAGCACAGTGAATAACCGCGCTATATATAAAATAATATTCCATTGTTTTCACCTATTTTTGTCGTTTGAGTCCAAAAAGACCACACTTTGGTTCCGAACTCGTAAAAAGATAAGACATAGAGAATGTTTGATAAGTCTAAAGGCAGGAGATATGATCATCTTGGAGTATAGATTTTTGGTTCCTACAGCTTTACCTGCCTTACGTTTCAAATGGCATGAATATGAGAAAGATAGCCAGCATGTTAATAGTTGGCATATTTTTCATGAAAGAAGTGTTGGGTTTTGGGCCTTTTTACCTTCCTACGTGGATAAATAAATAGCACACTTTTTGGTCCAGCTCAATCTTAGTTTTGGCCCATATATTTGATAGACCTTTTAGGTCTGATTTAGGGATTAGAGAAACTGCGAGAGAGCACACTTTAGAGAAAAAGAGAGAAAAGAGTGCAGATTTGTTTGCTAAAAATACCTCCAACCACCCAACTTCTTTTGGTGTTTCCCATATCATTTCATGTTGAATCAAGCTGAAACTTGAACTGAGTGTTTTTCACATCTTGGTCTTCAAGTGAGAACTGACAGAGCACGGTTTGGTATCCTGTAGCTCCAGATTGTGGATCGTGAAGAGTAGCTATATTTTTGGTGATTTCTCTCCTTTTCTTGACTTGTTTTGGTGCAAGCTTGTTGCTATTGTTGTTCAACGTCTGGCATTGATATTGTAGACATTTTGGAGAAATGTTATAGCTCTCTCAATGATATAGTGGATCTTTGGAGCGTGGTTTTTTTACTCTTCATATTGAAGAGGTTTTTCCACGTTAAATTTGGTGTCTCTTGCAATTGTTTATTTTCCTTGCCTATAGTTATTGGTTGTGTGCTATACCAGCTGCCCGTACACCATTTGTGCTAGAATTTATTGGCTTCAAATAGATTGAAGATGTTCGACTTGGGTATTACTCCGTTGCTACTGATAAGTATGGATTTTAACAACTTATTAGTACCTTCTTGTTATAATTTTTAATCCGAAAGTACATTTTTTGTCTCCTAATCTAATAACAATGGTTGAATTCCAGGTATGCTGGAAAATGTAAGTTCAAAGAAGAAAAATGACTCAAAAAGGAGATGTTGTAGCCAAATTCAATAAAGAGAAAAAGTGCTGATAAAGGTGTGGTCCGAAGAACTACACATGCGACCATAAAAGCAAGTGTGGTCCGCAAAATAAAGAATGCGGCCGTAGAGGAAGAACTGAAGCTTCAGGGACTTTTGGCAGAAGTACGGTCAGCAGAATAAAATGTCGGTTGCACTTGGTCCACAGAACAAGTTCACACTAACAAGCTTGAAACATTAGAGAATGAGCAGTTGAACAAGTCTAAAGCCTCCTCAAATGCTGTCTGCAGAAATTAAAGTGCGGTCGCAAAAGCTGAAGTGCGATCGCAGAACTTCTCCCACTGAAGGCACATGCAATGTCAATCCAACAAAATGCGAACCGTAAAAGCTGATGTGCGGCCGCAGAACCTTCTGAAGGACATTTTTGTCAAAGATTTTGGTATCCCTATAAATAGAATTTCATGACTTTTTTAGGGCCTCTTATCATTGTAGCAACTAAGAGTTAGTTATTTTTAGCTATTTGGAGCAAGTTTGAGCTACAATTGTAGAAGATCATCTACTCTTTCGTTTATTTTTGGTTTTATGTCTTTGATTTCTTCTTATTTTCATCTTTTTGTGTCTCTTAGTATGAGTAGCTAGATTTTTATCTAGGGTTGTGAGTCAACCCTAATGCGTAAATCTTATGGTTTATTAATATATTGCTTGCTATTGATTGGGTTAGTGTTATTTAGCTTTATTTATGCTTTAAAGTTAGAATTGATGGTTGCAAATATTGATTCATGTCTTTTTGACCTTGTTCTTACTTGAGAAAGAAGAACTTAGTCTAGGAAAACTTGGCTAACAAAAAAATTAAACTAGTTGAGTTATTGACTAGTTTAATTAACGAATTTGAACTAGAGACAGGGATAATCTAACTTGAAATCATATTCAATTGCACTTATAGCTACCCATTTGGACTTGAGAAAGCTAAATTGAGCATAATCACTCTTTAAGCGAGTGGTATTAAGTGAGTACTTGAGTGTTGAGAGTCATAACAATCCCGATCTATCAAGCAATCATAAATTGACCTTACCCATTACGTTTTTACCTAGATTAAGATTACAACCCTAGGCCTTTCTCCATTTGATAAGACTTCAAAAATATTTTGATTATTACTTGTCAGCTAGCTTAGTCACAAATCTTATTAGTTTAATTAGTGAAATTGATACCCACTTTAATTTGAAAGTTAAATTGAGTTAGTTCAAGTTGCTCACTTAAGCGTTTATCATAACACCCATACTAAACTCCTTGAGGTTTGACCTTGACTCGTGTTGGGTTATTATTATTGTAACGACCATTTCATATTCTCTTATTTGGTGTGTGACTTGGACATTATCAATTTTTGGCGCTGCCTGCCGGGGATTTATGGTGCCAAACTCATGTTATTGTGCATACAGATCATGCGTCACTTTGGTATCTTATGAGTAAAAAGGAATCGAAAGCTCGTTTGATTAGATGGGTGCCTTTGTCACAAGAGTTTGATATTGGCATCCAAGACAAGAAGGGAAGTAAAAATTAAGTGGCAGACCACTTGTCTCGTTTGGAGGAGGAAGGGAGGCCACATGATGGCTTTGAGATCAATGACTCTTTTTCCGATGAGCAACTCTTGGCACTTTCAATGAAAGAGATACCATGGTTCATGGATTTGGCAAATTTCATCGGTATCATTCCGGAAGCGTTCACTTCAAACCAAAGAAAGAATATCAAGAGGGATTGCAAAGACTACTATTAGGATGAACCATGCCTTTTTCGGATTTGCACGAATAGGGTGATTAGGAGATGTGTGCTGGACGAGGAACAAAGTGATATTCTTGGGGCTTGACATTCTTCACCTTATGGTGGTCATCATGAGGGATCAAGAACGGTAGCTAATGTCCTAAGTTTTGGTTTCTATTAACCTACTCTTTACAAAGATGCAAATGATTTGGTAAAACGATGTGATGAATGCCAACGGGGCGGTGGAATTTTAAAGAAACATGAGATGCCCCTTACAACCATCTTGGAGATTGATATCTTCGATGTTTGGGGCATTGACTTCATGGGCCCTTTTGCGAGTTCTTGTGGTAACCTACATTTTGGCTGCGGTAAATTATGTATCTAAATAGGTTGAAGTCATTATTTTACACAATAATGAGGCTAGAAATGTGGTTACTTTCTTGAAGAGGAACATTTTCACAAGGTTTGGAACTCCACGGGCAATCATAAGTGATGGAGGATCGTATTTTTGCAAAAAGGCTTTTGACACTTTGCTCGAAAAATATAGTGTCACTCACAAAGTGGCAAACCCCTTTCATCCACAAGCAAGTGGTCAAGTAGAAGTCTCCAACCAAGAAATAAAGAGTCTCTTGTCAAAGATGGTGAATGCAAATCGGTCAGATTGGTCTAAGAAGCTTGACGATGCTCTATGGGAATATAGAACGACTTACAAAACATCTATCAGGATATTTCAATATCATTTGGTGTTTGGAAAAGCTTGCTATCTCTCACTGGAATTAGAGCACAAGACAATGTGGGACTTGAAGAAACTAAATCTTGACTGGGATGTAGCCGCTAACTTGCGGGTTGCATAGTTGAATGAATTGGATGAATTCCGGCACCATGCATATTAGAGTTCGTCCTTGTACATAGAAAAGATGAAGTACCTTCAAGAAAAATATATTTGGAATAAGGAGTTCAAGGCCGGTAATCTAGTGTTGTTGTTCAACTCAAGGTTAAGAATGCTTCTCGTGAAGCTTAAATCAAAGTGGAGTGGTCCAATTAAAATTGTTAGTGTGACGCCCTTTGATACTTTGGACTTGAAAAACAAGAACAATGAAATCTTTCGAGTCAATGGTTATCGAGTGAAGCATTACTTGGGAAACGTTGGTGAAATCCACGTGGTGGCAGTTATGTACTTCAATTGCGAATGTTATGACATTGCATCGTGCGACGACGTTAAATAAAGAGCTTCTTGGGAGGCAACCCAAGCACTTGTCCATTTTCTCTTTTAGTTTAGATGTTGTTTATTTTTTTAACCAGATTTGAAGTGTGTTGTAGTAATCAGTGTTAGGTTTTTGGAGATGGATAAAGATATGGAATTGCATGAAATTCTACGGACCGCACAAGATGGACTATGGGCAGCAAAAAATTGACTGCGGACCGCAAATGCAGTGGAAGCCCAAGTGCTAAAATGAGAAGCCTCTGAACGTTTCTCGCAATAGTGCAGAGCTAATTTTGCGGCCTATGACATAATTTTTCAGCCACAGAAGATCACCTTCAGAGAGGTCACTAAAAACAAGTTGACAGAAGTGCGGACCACACAACTACAAGTTCTCTAATGCTCAGATAACAAAGTGTGGACCACATTTGGGATTTTGCGGCCTCACTTACTCTCTCTCTGACCCGACCCAGGAACAAGTATAAATAGAACATTAGGTGCTCCTTTTACACGTTTTACCATTTCATCTACCAACAAAGCTTTTACTAAGGACCCCTTTGCACACATAGTTTCCCACACACAGCCCTTCATATTCCAATAATTCTATTTGCACTAGCACAATCTGGTATGCAACACTTCGATCTTTTTTACTTTTCTTTTGAATTTTTTGATTTTTAACTTCTTGTTAGGTCATCTATGTTACATCCCTCTATCTGATTCCATATGGGGTAGCTTAAGAATGAGGTATTTTTAAAATCATACTTAGAATGGGTTAAGATTTTTGCTATCATGCCTTTGATCTGTCACCTAGTTGGATTGAAAAATATTACATAACCTAAAAATTAAATGAACTTCGTACTTAACTATGTCCGTTAATTCTTGATTGTGCGGACCACATTTGAAATTTTGCAGTCCGCAATTGCTGGTTTTGGTTTCCTGGCTAATTACACAAGTCTGCGGCCAAAATTTTATTATGCTGACCACGATAGGAATTTTCGGGCGGCAAAGAGAGGTCCATTGTCCTTCAGAGAACTTTTTCTCTGTGACCTGAGTACTTTTACTCAAGTGCGGACCGCTGTTAGATTTCTACGGCCACAAAAGTGTGTCCGCACTATCTTTCAGAGACTACTCTATAAAAATCTGATGCCTCGGTGCAGAAGTGCGGCCGCACTTGGAATTTTACGGACCGTACTTCCACTTTGTGGATCGCAGTTGGAATTGTGCGGACTTTACTTCCACCTTGCCCTCTGCATGTTTGACAATGAACTTCCCCTGTTTTTATGATTTCCCCTACTGTTATAGTGACTCATAACTACCATGTACCTCATGTCAATGTCGTGTATAACAATTGACAACCCTCCGTGTGTGTCAAAAGACAATGGTACGATTAAGAGGAAAGGCGTAGATATAAAAAGGCTGGGGTAACCAAGGGAAATGCAAAGGTCGAGGTGCCTTGACACCTAGTGTACAGAAGATGATTGTTAAGAAGCAAACAGCCGACCGAGGGAGAGATCAAAGCCTATCAGACACTGATTCCTATGTACCGTTTAAGGAGGACTCTAAAGGTAACTCATTGTCTCAGTGTGAAGAGCAGAATGAGGAGCAGTCTCAACAACAGGGAGAGTTTGAGCCCTGAGCTGAGCCTTCCACATTCAGGATACCTCCCATGGCACAACCAGCACTAGCCATGAGTCTAATGCAGCTGCACCAGACTCTGATTCCGATGATTCCCTTGATAACGAAAAATGGGGAAAGGTTGCAAGGGATGGAAAAGAATGAACCAAGAAGAAGGTGGTCTAGGAAGACCGGTTCTTAAGCTACAATGCATTTGTGGACTTCAAAAAAGGTATGGCAAGAAAGATCCCTGACTCATGAAAGGCAATTACTCACAAAGGATCTAGACAACTACAATCTGGCAGTCCTTGAGCAGTTCACAAAAAGAAAAGGCTGGATGCAATTCATTGAAGGGCTGGTTGATGTCAAAGAGCATCATGTCTGAGAGTTCTACATCAACACTATGCACATTGTAAAATGGACCAAAGTTACCAAGGTGCACAACCTTAAGTTGAAATTTGATCAAAGAACTCTAAATGTCTACATGGGATTTGAGGATGTTGAGGCAAAGGAGTACCTGTTCAAACTAGCTGAGAAGGAGGAGGTCCGACCGTGGCTTACTGAGATTCTTGCACCATGTCCTATCCCTCCTTGGATAGGTGCCATAGTTCCAATCTTCTGCAAGACCTTGAGCTTCGAGATAAAGGGATGGCAGACATTTGTGTACCCATGCTTGAATTAAAACAATCTGCCTTTGAAGAGGGCAGTGCTTGTGGATTCTAACATGGACAGGTACCTAATTAATGCGGGTGCTTTGATGTCGGCCAATATTACTCTTGTAGCACAACAGGGAAACACTTCCTACCAGTACCGCAGCACCATCACAAAATACTTGACAGATGCAAAAGTGGAGTCTAGACCATTTGATACCAAGATTAAGCTAATCGGCCCTTTTGATCTGTTTAAGTTACAAGAACCAAGGAACCCCAAGTCAAAGAGGAGCAGCCAGCTTTCCACTACTACTAGTTAGTCTGATGAGCTTGTAGTAGCAGCTTCCGGTCCTTCTGATATCTCTTCATCTTCAACTGAGCCTTCT